TACAAAGAAAATTAACCAAATTAATAAAACAAACATATGGACGCTCATGAATATGAAAAATCGAGTGAAATAGTGATAGCACAAATTTGGCATGATTTTTATTCAATCTGATTGTAAGATCAACAAATGCGAAGTAAAAAAATAAAGACCAGAAATCGCAAAAAACTTAAATCCGCAAGAGAAATGGTCTTTGTTATTATGTAAAAGTTTTTAGCACAAAAATTTAGATATATTCTTTTAACTTTGTATTAATGTAAACAATTTTTAGATAAAAATTATGATATCATTGTTATTGAATTAGTTACAGGACCGCGCTATCACTATTTTATTCAAAAAAATCTATGAACATAGTAACGTGATAACACTGACTACATTAATAGGTAAGATATATCGTAATTGTGTTGTAAAGAGTTAATATATTATTTCAGACAAAAATGCTAACCTATATACACCGATTGGAAATGTAAGTTGCACTTCTTTCATAAATCGGTACCGGTCTATAATATTGTTTGGAAGATATTGTTGAATTTCAACATACTCATAAACTGATTTTTCTAACAATAAATCATCTAATTAAATGTATTCATCTTTAAGTTGATAAGGTTCGCAAGTAGAGACTCGGTACATAGTACTGTTATTCTCAGGACTGCGGGTACTTTCATTGCTATGATGAAGTTCATTCATACTAGTATTGGTTGTAATTAAATAATCCGAGTATTTTTTTAGAATTTCAATTAAAGAAAGAACTGCAGGCATTACTTGACTCTATCTATTGTTACTTGCCCATGGTTGGCTAATAGAAATTTCGAGTGAATTCGAAATATACACAAGTTTTTGTTGAGACAATGGTACCTTTTTATGGTGACCAGTGTAATAAAATTCATTATATGATCTACTATCTTGATATGTTTTTAACTGTTTAAAAAGAGCTAGTAAATGATATGAACGTGCACTTAGTGTTGAAAGATGTGGATCAATATACCAAATAGCACTTGCAAGACAAATTATAAATGTTTTTCCTATTGTTTCATGCAAACCATTCGTCCAGCCAATGCTTTGAGTTTGAAAAAGCTCAATAATTTCATTGAAAAGTCAGTTATGGTTATTATTTTTAGTACAGCATTGGGGAAGTAAAGACTTTTTTGAATTTTTCATTAAAATACTAAAGGCATCGTATTCATTTTGAGTAGAGCCTGATGTATCTACATTTATCA